TTCAGCTTTTTCAACATCATCTTGTTTTGTCTGTAAACAATGGTGATGAGAAAAATTTAAATAAACACCCACCCACATTTAGGCAAGGTGCAATACAACAGGAAGACCTCATAGACGTTTCAAAGCTATGCATGACTTCCAACAAACCAGACCCACAGCTGTCCTACATGACATGAGGTGCCCCTCAACATGGAGTATCCACAGTTCAGTGATGTAAGTGTAAATGGAAGGAAGGTGACTAGCTTTTCTGGATGTGAAACAGCATCAGTTTTCTTTTAAAGCAGTCCCTCCCTTTCTAGGCACAAACCTGGAGATGGGCAACCACGTCATGAATAAAAAGCTTTGACATATACTCTGCCTACCTTACTACTCAAATTATTTTGAGAAAACTCAAATACTCTTTTAAGCTATTGGAACATGCTACATAACACCCTGCTCCATTCATGTGATAAATGCAACTATTTAGGGGGAAAGAAAAAAAAGTCATGGCACGACAAAGCTTTGAACTTGTTCCATGCAAATACAACACATTACAGCAGCTCATAAGTAAATGCACTGCTGGCCATTCAAATTCCAATAATGATGAAGATCTCTCACTGAGAAATAATTTATTTGCCAGTTTTGCTGAGGAGAGAAGAGCACATGAATGAAAGGCACTGCCCTAGCCAGGCCGGCATTGCCAGTCGCCAAGAACATCCTTTCATTTGTTTGAATTCAGAATTTGAAAAATAGTGATTTCCAATCAAATACATTCATTCTCAGAAGTAAATCTTTACATAGCATGGGCACTTTTTAACCTCCTGACCTTCACCATCTGCAACTCATTTTGTATCTCAAAAAAACCCCGCTGACATCTCCTTCAATACCAAACAACGGCGGTACAGGCTCCCAGCTTGAGCTCTGCTTCAAAGACTGACTCCATCTTCAGTATCTGTCTCTGCTAGTGGCAGAGACAGGCATGTTTTTTGGACTAATTTGCAACATATTTGCCTTTCAATGGACATATAATTTTAAATGAAATAGTAGATTAATTGAACGTGAGGCAGTCTCATTCTCCTTTGTGCCATGGCAGGACAGCTTTAACAAAGCCTGAGGCATAATTCAGTTCATTATAAACAAGGTATTTCATGGTCTGTGTTTCTGAAGGAAAAGTAAAACAATTTTGCACAATGTGTCATTTCTGAAGTACATAAATGTAAAATATTTATAGTCTTCCACCCTATGCAGATTTTTGGCTGTTGGATTCTTGGAAATATCTTCCAGTCTTGCTTTGCCCAAAGCACTTGGCTGGCTGACTGCTCTGCATGGCCACGGCACCTTGTGGCTACCCTCCACAGCCAGACACTACAGCCATCCATCTACTGCAGAGGCTTCTTAAAACAGTTCAGCTGGCAGGGTGACAAGAAAGATGAGAAAAGGGAAGCTGTAGGTGTTGACTTCACGCCACAGGAAGCTCACTTCAGCGCTCAGCAGCGATCGCACGACACTCCTCCACTTCATTGCAGAAGGTTCAGAAATGCATTTCCAGCTGTAACTGCCCATAAAGCATCTTAAAGGAGGAGGAAATGCCAGCCTGAGAAGCAACTTCTCATAAAGGTCACGTTCACACCTGGAAGCACATTTGCACTTCAAATACCCCAGTCCCAGCTACAGTTTGGGGAATGGCACATGCTGAGCTGATTTGTGCAATTCACCACTAGACGTGCATCCCTGCGTCCCACCAACCCACCCCTCACCCACTCAGGTGCCCCCAGGGGACGCCCAGGTCATGGATTCATGGATGCAAAGACTGACCTGGCTACCACAAAGAGCAAATCTGAAATTAATATTTAAAGTAAAAACCAAAGGCTTGATATAAGAAAACTTGGGCACCACCCTGCTGCAACTGTTTTTCAAACAACTGGTTGTATGCGTGAGGGGAGATTCAGGTTGGAACATCAGGAAAAGAAATCTTTCCTGTGAGGGTGGTGAGATGCTGGCACAGGCTGCTCAGGGAGGTTGTGGATGCCACCTCCCTGGGAGTGTTCAAGGCCAGGCTGTGTGGGGCCTTGAGCAACCTGATCTAGCAGGAGGGGGTAGGAACTAGATTATTTTTAAGGTCCTTTCCAACCCAAACTATTCCATGATTCTGTATTCGGTCAGCACCTCTATCAGGAGAGGCTTCCAGCAAATCTTGCAAGAAAGCTGCTGGGATACAGCTTGGGTTAAAATCATAGACAGTTATGCTTTAAAACCCCACCAGTAACCCCTACAAGGAACACAGACAGTCCCAGGAGGATTATAGACAACTTCCTACACAAAAATGCTGAAAACAATATGGAAAAGTTATCCTATGCTTGGTCTCTGATACACTTGGTTATACTGGTATCTTATTTTCCTTAGGGTATTTAAACAAAAACAAACAAACAAAATATAAGAACATGTCTCATTTTACTTAACCAGCATTTATGACTAAAACATTGACCTATGCAATTTTTTTTCAGAAATTACATGGACACAATCTTAACTAAACGTCTGACTTGCAGGCCTGTGGGCCAGACTTTCCAACACAAACCATACAATGAACTAAGAAATTAAATTCCAGCTGAGTACAGGCAGAATGCAAGTGTGTGTCAGTGACTACATGAGGCCCACGTGGGACTTCATTATTACTATTTTACCCAGCAGGAAGTAGGGCAGATGGAGAAAGGCGTTTTTTGGTGATTATGAATGAGCACATACTACTCTTAGTGAAAAATATCTAAATATAAAGATATGAAGAAGTGTTAACCATCTCAGAAGCATCACTCTGCTGCTCCCAGGCAGTCAGCAAAAGCCTTGGGTATATGACTGCAGAACTTGACAGCCTCTCAGTCTCACTTTTATGTAATTTCTGTAACTATCAAGGCTAGCATGCCTCAATTCTTGGAGCTCCTGACATTTCCTGAGATGTTATAAAAACTAATAAGCTCCCCTTGTTCATTTTCATTTAAGAAAAGCAAACTGGAAATCCCAGGAAGCCACTCCTAAGATTTAAAAACATATTCCAATAATCGTGTGCTAATAGTGTGACCTGTTAAGACTGAGCTGCAGACTCCCAAAGGAAGTCACATCACACTGCACAGCTAAACCTAGACCAAGTAAATATATCAGTACTTCCCTAGCCCTGGGATGTGTGAAAGCTCTGGTGGAGGATGGAGAAATATCTGAAGTAGAAAATTAGAGAAGAAAAAAAAAATCTGATTTTTTTTCCTTCCTATTTATGTCTCTTTAATGAGCTTCACTTAACTTGATATCCTGGGAGTAACTGGGCCATCATTAAATCACTCTGCAGCTGCACTGCTTATGCATCCTCCTCTGACTGTAACCAAGCCTGCTGGAAATGTGCCTGGTTAGTGAGGGTGCTGGTTACCTGCACCCTGCAGCTGCAAAGCCTGCTGCTAGGGGTGGGAAGGGGGAAGCAGGAAAGAGATGCTGGCTCCCATCTGGAGGAGCTGGGATCTCCCCAGCCCTCCTGCCAGCAGCTGCTGAAAACTGAACTCTCCTCCCCTCCTTCCAGAGTGGCAGGTACCTTGTTTTGTGGCATATTCAGTTAGGTCATGGGCAATGTGAACTTCCAGCCTAGGAATAACCACTGGGATCTTTTTCCAGGCAACCAGTGACAGGATGAGAGGGCCTGGCGTGAAGCTGGTTCAGGGGAGGTTAAGGTTGGATAACAGGAAGCACCTCCTCACAAAGAAGGTGATCAGACATTGGGATGGACTGCCCAGGGAAGTGGTGGAGGCACCATCCCTGGAGCTGTCCCAGGAAAGGCTGGATGTGGCACTTAGTGCCCTGGTCTGGAGATGTGGTGGTTTCAGGTCATAGGCTGGACTTGATGATCTTAAGAGGTCTTTTCCACAGCCTTAGTGATGCTGTGATTCTGTGAATCCTTGCTGGCTCCCCTTGCTGGTAGACACAGCCCTTTACTCAAACCCTTAGTCCATGCCCCATCTGCAACAGACCCAAAGGGGAGAGCGGAAGGAGGACGTGGACACCTAACACACCAATCAGCTTCACAGGCTGTGTCCCCAGAAAAGGACATAACCCTCACACCAACCTCTAAGCCTTCTCCCTCCACGTGGCTGCAAAAATAAGTTTAGTGTTGCTTGGTGAGTGTTAAAAATGCCTGTTTGAAGGTAAAATCTAAGGGAGAACCTGAAGCGCATCACAGAAACACTTCAGGAAAAGAGTAGCATGAGAAAACAAAAAAACCTTCCTCTGGAGGTAACTAATGAACAATATTTTCAATAGTATTTATGTTGTACACATGCACATATATATATAATGAAGATAAAATAATTAAACTATTTATGGGAGGATTGGCTAATCCACCTGAAGGCTGTGCAGCCATTCAGTGAGATTTGGACAGGCTGAAGAGCTGGGCAAAGAGGAACCTAGTGAGGTTCAACAGAGTCCTGCACCTGGGAAGGAACAGCAAAATGCACCAGTACAGGCCAGGAGGTGATCTGCTAGAGAGCAGCTCCGTGAAGAAGGACCTTGGAGTCCTCGTGGACAACAAGTTATCCATAGGACAGCAATGTGTCCTTCTAGCCAAGAAGAGCAGTGGTATCTTGGGGTGCATTAGGAGGAGTGTTTCCAGCAGATCAAGGGAGGTTCTTCTCCCCCTCTACTCAGTCTTGGTGAGACCTCACTTGGAGTGTTGTGTCCAGTTCTGGGCTCCCCAGTTCCAGAGGGACAGGGATCTACTGGAGAGAGTCCAAGGGAGGCTATGAAGATGATGAAGGGACTGGAACACCTGCCTGATGAGGAAAGGCTGGGAGATCTGGGGCTGTTCAGGCTAGAGAGGAGAATACTGAGGGAGGATCTAATTCATGTCTATAAATACATGAGGGCATCCAGAAGGCAGGACAAGCTCTTGTCACTTGTGCCCTGTGACAGGACAAGGGGCAATAGATTCAAACTCCAGCCCAGCAAGTTCCAACTCAATATGAGGAAGAACTTCTTTACTGTGAGGGTGACAGAGCCCTGGGACAGGCTGCCCAGAGAGGCTGTGGAGTCTCCTTCTCTGGAGCCTTTCCAGCCCTGTCTGGATGCCTTTCTGAGTGATCTGCCCTAGATTTGGTCCTGCTCTGGCAGGGGGGTTGGACTTGATGATCTTCAGAGGTCCCTTCCAGCCCCTGACATTCTGTGATTCTATTTCACAGTGTGTATGTGTGTATAAACACACAGGAGAGAAATCCAACAGCAAAAGGGGAGAAGCCTTGCACTGTGCTGGTGATGCTGCCCGCTGGAGATGTAAACAAGCTTTCACCTTGAGCAGACTGCTGAGAGAGATGAGGTGCCAATGGATATGGACTAGATGTTGTGTTAATAGATGCTGAATGACAGATGTTCATTGGAATCT